AAATTTTCCTTAAGCTTAGGTTGCTTTTCTTCTTGGGTACTTTCCAACCATTGCTTCTTATCTTTTGGTCCTTTAGAAAATAATTTGATCCCCTTGGTTTCCTAGGAGCCCCTCTAATATTAGAACAGTGCTATCATATCATCTCTTCTTTTCATTAGACTAGGCATATCCCATTCCTGTAATCATTCGTCATATGTTTTAGCCTCCAGCCCCCTAATTATTTTGTTACTTTTCTCTGCACTCTTTCCAGAGTCTCTAAATCTTTTTTATATTATGGTGACCAGAGCTGAATGCATAGTCCGAATGTAATCTTACTAAGGCTTTGTAAAATGGTGATCTTCATGATTATGTGATCACATGATGTTGATTCTATCCCTGTATTAATGCAGCCTAGGATTGAATTGGCTTTTTTGGCTGTGACTACATTCTGTTGGCTCATTTAAGTGATTGTCCACTAGGCACCCTCACAATTACTGGCATTAAGCCATGTTTCGCCTAGTCTCTACCTGTACTGTTGTTTTTTTCTTGCTTAAGTGTAAAATGTTACTTTTATCTCTGTTGAACTTCATTTTGTTAGACAGGGCCCAGTGTTCAAGTCTGTCAAGATCTCTTTGGATCTTCAATTTCTCTTCTTAGTTGGCTATTCCTGTCAGCTTAGTGTTGTCTGCAAATTTGATGTGTTTCCCTTGTATTTCCTTATGTAAGTCATTTATGAAGATATTGAAGAGTACTGGAACTAAGCTCAAGGGAATAAAAGTTTACCATCCAGGCAGTGAAAGTTTAAAATCTTTCAGGTGATAATTGTAAACAGTTTTGTATAAATGATCACTCAGTTTTCTCAGGATCATTCAATATACATATATAAATCATGTTCAGTTCATTCATGATTTTTTTAGTTAATAAAGACTGTAATTCTTATAAATACTTACAAAGATGCAGAGAAAGAAAAAAAATACTCTTGCAAAGAGATCTATCTGCACCTAATTCATTTTGCAATTATATCTCTGTAAAAAGAACTATGCAGTCAATATTGAAGGAAAACAGTACAATCTATTTCGAGAAAATTATCTCCATGCTGAGATGCTGTGCTGTTCTTGCTCCTCTCACTTCAGTGTAACAAAGGCACTACTCAGCAGAACTCATCAGAATAATTTTTGTATCCATATAAAAGTTTGATTCCCAGATTTTCTCTTATCTCTAAGTTCAATATTTTCTTCTATTCACTTTTTCTCCTATGCATGCAATTCTGTGTATGTTTGGGGGAGGGAGTTTAAGCTTTTAAATAGATTATGCAGGAAAGACCCATCTCTGCATGCCTGCCTCTTAGAGATTGATCCCCTCTTCTTTGTGGCAGTCCTTAGGTATTGGAATACTGCTATCATGTCACCCCTACTCCTTCATTTCATTAACTAGACATACCCAATTACTGTAACCATTCTTCATGTTTTTTAATCTCCAGTCCCATAATCATCTTTGCTGCTCTTTTCTGCACTCTTTCTAGACCCTCAACTTTTTTTTGTATTATGGTGACCAAAACTGGATGAAATATCCCAACTGTGGTCTTACCAAGGCATTACAAAGTGGTGCTAATACTGCAGGGGTTTGGTAGTCTGTCCCTCTGTTAATGCAGCCTAGGACTGTTTTTGCCTCTTTTGGTACATGCAGCACACTTCTGCTTCATATTTAAGTGATTGTCCACTGGAGTCCAAGATTTCTCTTGCAGCTATTGCTACTGAGCCATGTACTAGCTATTACTTTTGGTTTTTCTTGTCTAAATTAGAGCTTACTTTTCTCTCCAATATATTTCATTTTATTAAATAGGGCTCAGTGTTCCAATCTATTGAGATCCTTCTGTAACTTGAGCCTGTTTTCTGAAGTTTTTCCTGTTGCCCTTCTATCCCCTCTTTTAAATCATTGATGAAGATATTGAAGAGTACTGGGCCTAAGCCAGAGTCTTGGGGTAACCCATTGCATGCTTCCTTCCATGTAGATACAATTCTATTAAGGACTACACCGGTGATGGCAAACCTTTTTCTTACGTGTGCCAAAATTGTCATTGCGCGTGCCTGTGTTATTATGCGCACCTGTGTGCCCACTCAATCCTCCCCGCCCATCTTCACGTGTGCGTGACCCCCCTTCTGCACATGCGCCCCTCCCTGTGTGTGGGTGCACGACCTCTCCCCAGGATTCAGAGGCTTTCCTGAAGCCTGGGGAGGGCGAAAACTGCTTCTACCAGAGGCACTCCGGAATCCAGAAATGGATCGCTTCCGAACTTCTGGTTGGCCCACTGGGGCTATTTTTTGCCCTCTCCACACTCCGGAGGCTTTCCTGAATCCTGGAGAGAGAGAAAATGACCTCCTCTGGCCCTCCAGAAGGGCAAAAAATCAGCTGGCCAGCATGCATGTATGCACTGGAGCTGAACAGCTGGCATGCCACCAAATATGGCTCCATGCCATAGATGGTTCATCATGGGACTACACAGTGAATGTGGTTTGTCAATCAGTTATGAATCCATCTGGCGGTGATGGTGTCTAACCCATTTTTCTGTCTTATCAAGTAGTAGGGTGTGGTTTACTTTATCAAAAGCTTTACTGAAGCCCAGCTAACCCATATCACAACCTTTCTCTGATCCACTATTGCCAAAAATACAATAAGATTTGTCTGGAATCCTCTGTTTTTGACAAATCTTCTGTTTTACACCTTTCTTTTAACACACATTGAACACTGTTTCCATTTTGCTCCTCATATACAGGTAATAACTCTAAAAAAGGAAGAGTATAGCCTATTCTGCTAAGTTCCTGCTGCAGGTTCTGGAAATCCTTTGGATAAGTCATTAGTGCCAAGATATACATCAACATCATAGTCCTTACAAGCATTCTTGACTATCTTGATAATGTGTCTCTTTTCTCTGCTGTCAGTAGAACCAGGCAGACACCTCACCTTGTTCGAAAACTCCATATCCTTTCCTAAATTGACATTTCTTACTTTTGAGTCACCAACCAGAAAGTGGCTTCTCTTTCTAGATTTCTTGCTCACCTCCCATGACTGATTTGTAATATCTAATTCATACCCTCCCTTGTCCAAAACGTCTTCCTCACGGACCACAATGCCCATTCAGTTGAGTCATCATCTTCATTACAAGCAGCTGAACCTGTCACCTTAGTATCCTAATTAAGTTCAGTAAGAACACTGTATCTATAAGACAGGATACACCAAAAGCTTTGTGTCCACAGGTCTTACTCACTCAGCCAGATCCAACAATTGTCCATATTTCCCTTCAACTGGAGGGTCTTTGTAGTACAGAGTGCTGATAGTGAGGCAACTCAAAATAACACACAGGTTGGACCTCTAATTTCAGACTCTAGATAGGCAATCTGTCCGTCTAAACTAGTAATTTGATTACAGATAGAAAAGTATTCAGATTTGAAAAGAGTAAAACAAAAGACAGTTGCAAAACAAGAGTTGCACTGAACATTCTAAAATAAAACTGCAATAACACAAGCACTTATCAAAGGTAGAATATACTTGGTAATATTGGTAATATCAAAGATGAACTATTGCTGCTTTCAAACTGGATGTTTTCTGGTCAGAAGGCTAGTTCGCCTCACAGTGAGTAATTTCACAGAGTTGATGCAACTAAATATTCCCTTGAGCCTTCCTGATTCAGATTTATAATTGTATGACTCCCCTGCTGCTAATTTGCCACTGAATGAGTGGACATTAACTGAGAACTTCCTGGGCATATATGGTTGATCAGATGTGGAATGTTGATGCTTGCTATGCCTTAATTTACTTCCCTAATTTTTCACCATTGCATATTTTACAACAATATTTTAAAAATCCATTGTCATATTTCATGAGTACATTAGTTTATTTTTGATACGTAGATTATGTATCAATTATATGTTTATGTTTAATTATATTTAACATGACAAAATCAATATACATAAAAATATGACTTGTTATTTTGATGAGTTTGACTGTAGAGGTGATTACAACTGTTTGCTTAGCATCTGATGTTACAGTGGACCCCCCCAAAAGGCACTTACAGTCCGATTCCAAACGTATGATGGGCAGGAGAGATATGATCACATTTTCACATTGCAGGCACTTGGCAACCAGTGTGAATTTGCAGCTGTTTGCAGTGTCCTGCAGTTACATGACCACAATTTTTGGCTTTTTGGTGAAAACCAGCATTTTGGTTTTCAGCAAAAACATCCCATAACAAACAATGGGTTTGTTTAACAACCCTTAACAACCATGGTTGTTGAAGATAATGACTGCCACAAAAAAAGTCTGTAAAATTGGGTCAATTGCATGATGACTCTTTTGTAACTGTCACAACTTATGATCGTAATAGGCAGGCTCCATTATGATGGTAAGTCAAGGACTATCTGTACTTACATTAATTGTATCTGGGTTCTCTGAACTTTTTAAGAGTTTTCCCCTTGACTGTTGAAAAAGGGGGGGAGGATAATCAACAACAGTGATACAATAACAGGATTTGTCGTTTGTCCAAAGATCTGTGCTGATAATTGCTTGTGTCTTTGTATTAGAAAAAATTTTGATACAGTTTTACAGAATTTATTTATTTAGAATAAAATAAACTCCACAGGACTACTGATAATTAAACAACTAAAGAAAAGAAGCAAAACAAGAGTTGTAATAATCAGCATATTACAAAGAGAATGTAGATACAAACCACAAAATAGATGTTTACATCTGTTGCTCAATTTACCTACTTGGAAAGACTTCTGTGAAATAGTTTGACGTTTTATTTTTCAGTTCCACTAAGTATTGGATTTTTTATAATGGAATGTGTTCTCAAATAATTTACTGTTATTGTTATCCATAATAGGGAAATAGGTATTCAATTTTTCTTTTTGCTTTGTTTTTGAAATTATATACAGTTAGTGTTCTTTGCTTATAATTGTTACTATGAAAAATCTATTAGACTTGATTTAAGTTTAAATTTTAATTATTTCTTATTTTCTGTGAAGGCCTGTTCATAAAAAAAATGAGCCTGTAAACTTCAGCAAACTGATTAGTAGTGGTTATGGTGATGAGTGGCTTCAACAACGTGATCAATGGAAGAAAAAAAATACTCTGTCTAATGGTAATGTGTTAAAACCTTTTTAATATTACATCATATTTAATATGCTATAAAAAGTTGCTCAATAATCCCTGCTCTAATTTATAAGCCTGTTTTAAATATTGTGGTTCATTAGTAAATGAAGTATTTGTATTCACATTCTGCAACTCATCAAACTTGAATTCACATATCACAATATGATAGTTGTATTTTCTTTTTTAAAAAATAATATTTTACATCCTCAGCCATTATTTGTATAAATTATTTTACAGCTTACCTTGTGTGAATCCTGTCAATTACGGCTTATTCAGCAATCCATAGTTAAAACAAAACTTAGTATGATATGTGATTCCATTAACTTTTTCAAGGAAGTCCAATTCTTTTCAGTGAAATATGCTTTCAAAGAGTAAAGCATTCAGTTCTATCCTGATAATTAGAACAACAGAACATCTTCATTATAAAGAAAAAATCATAAACATTATTTTGTAGCAACTGCCATTATTAAAGATGTTCTACTTGAAACTATTTAAAATTATGGCCTAATACCTCTGTAGATTATATTCTAGTGGAGCATTCATTTTATATTATGAATAATACTTAAGTATATCTGAAGACATGTTCAGAGAAGTAAGAGCTTTTAAGATTTTGCAAAGCATTAAAGAAGATACTTTGCAAGGCATGTTGGTTCATGCCCAATATCTTTCTTACAAGCAATAAAACAGTCACACTTTATGGAAAGCTTTTGCAGCTGTTTGAACATAATTGTTTGTTTGTTTATTTTATGCAGTCTATAGTCCACTCCAGTTACACAGAAGTAGTAGTATTCAGTTCCCCTTCCATATCTCAGATTAAAACAAAACATGATACAGTTAACAAATTAGGGCCATGAAATCACTGTATAAGGCCCTAAGGATAATTGTAGATGATACATTTGTATATATACTCTCACCACTGAAACAATATCCATTTTTTAAGGACACATAATCATGCTCAGCTTCCCAGGGTTAGTGAGGCAAGTCCTTTTTAAACACCAACAGGGAATGGGCCATTTGAGGTTTGAGAGACTGCTGTTCCAAAGAAATGGACTAGAGAAGGCATAATAGGCTAGCACCTATAGATGGCATTCTCTGAGCAAAGGTCATGGAAAGAGTTTGTTCTATTTGACAATATCGGGTGAACAGGTGTTTTTGGAAGAAGACAATCCTGTAAATATCCAAGCCATGAAAGGCTTTGACAGATGATGGTAACCACCATTCTAGAATTACATTCAATGTACATCTAGTACATCTCCAAAAATAATGTATGGCAAGGGAGCAACAAGGAGTGTCCATGGCTACTTGAGCTATTGCATTTTGGATCAGATGTACTTTCCAAATGCACTTCAAATTCAGCCCCATGTAGAACACATCATAATAGCATAATCAAAGTGACGAGGAATGAGTAACCATGGATAAAATCTATTTATGTGCATACACATTTACTGCACACATAATTGTTTTATAAATTCAGGCACAGAGACTTAAGTAGTCCTGTAGGTTTTGCAGAGTGCAGTTTTGAATGCTTTGCATAATCTTAATTGTTTTTAAAGAACTAAATTTATATTACATTTAAATGTTTACTATAGATCTGAACATCTTTTGTAATCACTTTGCTTTAAGCAAGTACTTTGGACAATTGTTAAAACATATTGGGCTAAATTCTATCTTAGAAACAGAGAAACCATAGGCCTCCAGATTAATTTCTATTATCCATGGGATAAGATGCAGTTCAACATCTTTTGGAAGGATCATAGATTTCCCTTCTCCTTATATCCAGAATGCATTTTAAGTAAAGAATTCCTTTTCCATTATTTCTTGCAGATTCTCTTCTTCCTCCAAGTGAGTATCAGAAGAAAATAGAAAAGAGGCAGAAAGCTAGGAAACATACATTGTCATACAAAAGAAAATCTAAATCTCAATCTGGACTTGAAATGGGTGCCCAGCCTAAGAAGTCACTCTTCAAGCTCAGAATGTATGCCACCCAATCTATCCTATCCCAACAGCCCATTTCTGACATAGCCAGATATAAGAATTCTATTTTGCTGTTATTTTTTTCTTTGCTATTAAAAGAAAATTTAATAATTAGGAAATTAAGGCATATGGTTAATAAAAATATTTTTAATGTTAATCAACTATTAAATGATGCATTCTTCCCCTTCTGAAAGTACCAGAATATTCAGTAAAGTTTCTCCTTATAATGGAAAATAATTAGGCCTTGAGTTGACAAAAATTAAAGGCAGAGTTAAATAAACAAACAAACAAATAAATAAATAAATAGTAATTTTGTGTAGTAGCATAAATAAATAATAAAGTAGAAATTATTTCTACTTTATACATAATAGCTTCAGTTCGGAACAGAATAAATGGGAGGTTAATATATATGAAGGCTCTTGTTTAGTTTTCCTGAACCTTTTGCAGACTAATTTTTAAAATGCATGATTTTAAATAACTGTTTAGTTATTAATTTTAAATAGCTGTTAGTTATGCAACGTGCAAAATGAAATTTCTACAACTCATACTAATGTCGCACTTTTGCACATTTCATCTATACCCTTTATTAAAANAAGATTAAGTCCAAGTAAGCACACAGCCCAGATCTGCAGTTCCTGCAGCAGACACAAAACCCCCAGACATCCAGCAAGTGCCAAAAGAGTACTGAGACCTGGCGGGTTTTCAGTGAGGAAGATTGTAACTTTCTACCCCCCATCAGCCCATCGATAGAGGTCTTGCCTGGAGCCACCCTACCAAAGCCGAAAATGTACTCCATGACTCCTAAAGAGATGGTAGAATTAAGAAAGTACATTGACATCAATTTGAAGCGGGGCTTTATTGAACCAGAAGTAGCAGCCCCCATGCTCTTCAAAGAGAAGAAAGACATCGGGGTGAGGCTATGTATTGACCTGCGAGGGATAAACTGAGTATGCGTAAAGAACACCCATCCTCTTCCCCTCATGAAGGATATGTTGAACCACTTAACTAAAAGACAAGGTGTTCACCAAACTGGACTTGAGAGAGGCGTATTATCGCATAGGTATCAGGGAGGGAGATGAATGGAAGACTGCCTTTAACTGCCTCCTTGGCAGTTTCCAATTCAAATTTATGCCATTTGGACTACAAGGACTGCATTACATAAATGAGGTGCTACATCAGCACCTATACCAAGAGGTGCTTGTTTACCTTGATGACATCCTCATTTTTCTGAGACCCTAGAAGAGCACATGAAGGGTGTACGACAAGTTCTGGAAAAACTTCTAGCCGCCAAGCTATATGCAAAATTATCAAATTGTGAATTCCACAAAATCTCACTAGATTACCTTTGCTATCACATTTCCAGCGAGGGGGTAGAGATGGATCAAGGGAAAGGGAAAACTGTGTTAGACTGGAAACCCCCAAGCACCTGCAAACAGCTATAAAGCTTTCTTGGATTTGCCAACTTCTATAGGCAATTCATCCCAGTTTTTGCCGGGACATCAGCAGGGCATCCCGAAGTTGCCCCTGCCATTGACCTAACTGTTAAAAACAGGGCCTTCCCCGACAAAGCCAAAGGCAAACCAACCTATTAGATGGGCAATGGACTGTCAAAAAGCATTTGAGAAATTAAAACAGCTCTTTGCCCAAGAGCCCATACTGCAACACCCTAACCCAGAACAGCAATTCATAATCCAAACAGATGCAAGTGATGTGGCTGTAGCGGCAGTGCTTTTGCAAAAGAGCAAATAAGGGCACCTCTTGTCTTGTGCTTATGTCTCCAAAAAAGGAGGTGAGCCATTTGGGAGAAAGAAGCATATGCGGTCAGGTGAGCCCTACTCACTTAGAGACATTTCCTGGAAGGAGGGGATGTCCCATTCGAGGTCTGGACTGACCATAAAAACATCAAAGCCCTCAAAAGCCCCTGAAAACTGTCTCCAAATCGGTTCCACCACAAAACTGCGGACGACAAAATCGCGCTCGACGAAAGCGCGTACGTGACGTCATCACAGCGCGACGAAAACATCGCGCTGTGATCGTAAAATTTAAAATTAAAGCGAAAACCTTACCCTAACCCCCCCAAACCTAAACCTAAACCTAACCCTAAACCTAACCCTAAACCTAACCCTA